GCTGAACCAGCTGGGTCCAAGAGTGCACATGGATTTTACTGTATGTCTAAGCAAACTCATGCTCCCATCAGACCCACGTTTTTTTCTCAACCTTTGCTATCAAAAAATGACCAAAACCCTGCTTGTGTCTGTTTTTTTTTTTTTTTTGGTAAGTACGTTAAAATTTCACCTTCTGTGAGCTTTCAAATACAGATGTGATGGCAGAGCACAGCTACTCTTTCTTCACTGCTTGCTCACAACCCCAAACTCCCTGCCTGTAGATAAATACCCTTTCAGAGAGGAAACGAGCGCAACGCATCTCAACCAGAGGAGTTTCTGTGTCAGATGAAATCCAGGCAGGCACCACGGTGCCTGATGAGACTGCAACAAAACCCTTAAGTGCATCAGTAGGCATTCTTCTGTGTGTAGTCTCCTGCTCTACTTATGGATAAAGATGTAATTCAATCACTGCAGCAAATGGATGGCGTAAACCCTCCATGTACCACACAGAGGCAAGATAAAGTCTGTCGCTCTCTTATTTGTATTCCTAAATACACCTATTTTTGTATTTTGACATTGTAGAGAACTCGGTAGATATGTGAGAAAAGTATAATGGCAAGCTTTAACAATACAGCTATCAGTTCTACCACTGAGGATTTTAAGTCTTCTAAACTAAGACCATCTCAAACAATACCACGGTGTGTTTATGCCTTCCTAATTAATTTGCAACTTCACTAATAAAACACATGTACCACCTTGTTTGTAGGTCCCAACTGCCTCCATGCCACAATTACAGGACTCGGACACATGGACTTCCAGATCTGCTTGACAGTATTACATAGAGAAAATTCTTACTTTTGAACAGGTTCCTGTATTTGCACTGCTTTTCAAACTAAACAGCAATGGCATATCACTTCCTCAGTTAGATTGCCACTAGCAGACAGCACATGCCTCCACTCAGTGAAAGAAGATCCATTTCACTGTATGGGGTTTTATTTTATAAACTCGGTAAGAAAAACAGAGTTAAAGAATTTATTGAAAAGTCATAAACCCATCTTGTTCAGCTCTACATGCAGCAAAAAGGGAATTTAATTGTTTAATAAACATCAAATTGTTTTTAGTGTCCCACGTAAGTCTCCATGAAAACCATGTCCTTGACACTTACGTGCATTCTAAATGCATAGGCTGATGTTCCCCCACACGTCCTTGCAATCACGATGCCTCACACAGCCAGGGCAGTTCTTTCAACAGTGGTTTGCTCTCCTTTAAAATCTATGTATTCCCAACAGCACTATTTTCTTAATATTAGAAAGATGTAAGAGGTATTTATATAGCTCCCCTATCAATCTACTTTCAGGCCACCAGAAATATAAACTCTATGGCTTAAAAATTCCATTATCCTCTTTCTAATGAATGAAAGGAGGATGGAAAGACAAAGCCATCAGTTTCCATAAAATCCAGCTTTCACTAGTGTCTGCTGTAACGTTTCTAGATGGGCAAAGGGACTCTGCTGAATGCAAAGAAGCACTGCCCTCCCTGCTCGTGGGCTCCTGGAGACCCTCCTCCTCCTCCTTCTCCTCCTCCTCGCCGCCGGCAGCGATGCCGAGGCTGCAGCAGGCACTGGCACCCACGGCCTGAGCTCCTCTGGGACCGTCTGTCTCACCATAAGCAAAAGTTATGTTGTTAGACACGCCTCAGTGAAATCTGGGGGTGTAAAGAAACAAACCTGCAATAAAGCATCCTTTGGAATAAAGCAGAGCCCGCGCCGAGAAGCACGTCAGCAGACAACCCCTGATTTAAGCCATTTCTTTTAACAATGCAAGCCTAGCAAGTATAAATTAACTCACAGTTTTAAAAGCCAAACAACACCAGTTAGCTAATTTTATCAGCACTTAAAAAAATACCCACTTTGTTTTAGAGAAACCTGGTGAACTCAAGCTTATCCTGTCTTCTGAAAGCAGGTAAATACAGAGTCAAAAAAAAAAGCCAAACGTGTTAGATAAGATGGGGCACTGAAATTTGGCAGAGAAACCGGTGGCAAAACAGCCTGTACTGACCAATGGATTTTTTTTCCCTTCACCTCCAGCCTGCAAACCCAAAGCACATCAAGAGTAACACCGCCCTGGATGCAGAACTCAAAAAAACAGCTTACACTCTTCACACTTCCCCCAATACGCTTATCCAATGCACTCCTAATTAGCTAATTGTGCCCACATTGATCCAATTAACAAGCCATAAAGATCTGAACAAAAGGAGCATATTCTGCCCAATGGAGACTCTTTTCAATCATGCCAAAATCAGACAGAACAAGACAGGGAGGACAGAACCCAGGCCAAGGCGCTTGGCCACCACCCCCAGAGACTTCACCATCGCTTCGGCACGCTGCTCCGAGATGCTCAGGGGTGGAAACCCCACCAAGCACCTACCTCTCCCGTTTAGGAGTGTGGACCGATAGCTGTCCGTTAGTTGAGGCATGGGGGTTGATGATTAAGGAGGTCTTAGACGGGGCGGAGGAGGAGACGCAGGTGGTGGACAGGTCCAGGCTGCTGTGGTTGTTGCTGGCTGCCTCCTCCGCTGTGTGCGAGCTTGTCACTTCCTTCCAGAGCTGCTGCAGTTCTGTTGGAATCATGCCTGAAACAAACAAATTGGATAATTAAATCAATTAACAGCTAATTCGGCCGTCTTCAAACAGTAATTAAATCAAAGAGTCAGTAAACAAAGCCTAGTGTTAGTTTTGTGTGTGCGTGGTTTTGCGCATGTGTTTTTTTGTAATAACCGAACCCTGCACGTCTCTGCTAAATTTGCTGGGGTGACACCTACAACATCTACACGAGGCAGCATCTGGGTGTGGGGTAGGGGGGTCCACGCAACACGCCACCCGACCCAAACTCCATGGTTATTATTAATATTTTTTGTAATTCAAATTACAGAAGGCCCATTTGCAGAGTCCCTAATCAGGCAGAAATCCCCCTGAGCTCACAGCAAGGCTGATGGCAAAGGTGGCCAAGGGCTACTCTGCAGTCAGCCAGAGAAATTTTTTTGTTTGTTTGTTTTAAATCTACTATTTTTTTAAGGAAAGTACTTCCTAACCTGTTTTCAAAAGAAAAGAAGGTCTTAGGAAAAAAAGAAACAACTCAGCTTTATTATTATGACAACATGAACCACAATATGACTAATTTTGTGCTTAAGTTTTAAATGATGACAAATAGCTTTGTTATTAAATACAGTTTTTATTAATCACTTTTCGACATAAATTATGAATTCATATTGTCTTCCTGAAATGCTTTTCAAATTTTAACAGTCAAATTGATTATACTATGATTATTTCATTAACACACCTATCTTTCTCATTAATTTTGGTTTCTCGAACTGCTCACTTAATTGATGGATGTGTCTACTGAAAAACTGTGTAACTTTCTATACAAGTAACACTATTATTACTGTCATTTCTTAGATCGATGCTAATGAGCCATTGAAAAGTAAAACGAAAACACAAAATAAGCTTCAAGAAATAATAATAATATTTTTTTTTCCTTCTGCCCAAATGGACACCAGGGTTGGGATGTGGCAGTCAGTAAATAATGCAGGTGAAAACTTGGCAAACTCCAGTGGGCCCAAGTGAAGGCTGGAAGGGAACGGGCTCACACTGAGATGATGTTTTGGGATAAAGCTGATGTTTGTGACATGATCAGACAAGTTTCCCTCACTGAAGGCTATTTCAGTGCTCTTTCAGAGGAGGCCATGGGAAAAAAAATTAGCAGTGGAGGTGCGTCACTTAAACATTCAGGGAAAAAAAAAAACCCAAACAAACAATAAAAGGCAGTGTCTGTGTTTCTAAAGAGGTTTCTCATCACTGTGGTTCCAGCCCATCCTTTGGCTGACTGTTCATTGTTTCACTGCACTGTAGCTATCCTAAGGAAACCTGCCATTTTCTGAGAGTACAACAGCAGCAGCTCACACGGGCATGCATCTCACCAAACCTAAGGTACTGAAATAATAATAAAAAAAAAAAGGCAGTATGCATTATATTCATTTGAAACACATAATAAAAAATGCCAAGGTCTAAATTTAATTTATTTTTGTCATTTAGAATACAATGGATAGATAATCATCTCAACGTGATCAGCCAAACATCTTTACTTTGCTAAACTGTTAAAGATTTTAATTATGCTAGCTTTGGAGAGCACTGGTCTAATGAGGCGATAGACTCCAGAGAATCTAAGTGGTTAAGAACTGTGAAATGAGTCTGATAGGATTTTTTTATATCCACCGTGGATCGTTTGCATATCAAAGAGGAGTAAATTATTGCACGACAGACCAATAACCTTCCCCGCCTTTCCCAGAGTAGCATTAACAAAAACAGTTGGTCTCCGGTAATGGTTCGCTACAAAAAAATGCTAAAATCCTTAAGTATCTGCAATTAATATATATTATGAAAGAGGCTTCAATTTATACATTAAGTGATCAGATATTCTTAAGACACATCCGTTCCTCTAAAGCCACGTCATTTTCCTTTCATCAGACCCAAATGCCAATTATATTTTGATGGATTTTGTCCCAAATGAGCATTTAGTTATTAGACGTATTCAATTATTACTTGTCCCCCGAAATTAAGCCTCTGGGCAAATTAAACAAAGAAAAAGGTCAGTACACAAGCCTATGTCCTGTTTTGCTGCACCGGGGCTATTATTTCCCAGCACCTTGCGAAGTGACAGTGTGGGAGGTATTTTTAGCTAACACGCTTGACAGGACTGTCTGCACACCAACAATTACCTGGGAGCAGGGCTGACCCTCACACCACTGTTTACTCCACTGAAACAATAGTGAATAGACTTGTCTGTTGATGATAACGTATTGATAGGAGACCCTATGAGTCGACACCTATTTTTATTTTCCAGAATA